GTTTATTATTAGCAATGTTCTTCCGACGTCTGATTTCTTTTTAAAAAATGCGTTTCTAAAGTGCACAAACTTTTGGGATTGACTTTATAGCCAATACATCCTTAAATGATTCTGATTGTATCAGTTTTACTACGAGATCTTGTATATTGTATAGCGTGAACTATTGAGGAGATCCCGTACACTTTTGTGTCCCGAGAAAGAAGTTGTGCAAAGCGAGCGAAGCGGTAACGCCGGCTAAACCGTGTTTTTCTACACCAGGTCGCTGAACCATGTACTCACATACTTAGCTGTCCGCAGTTCTGCGATGCGACTGTGCCTTTCATTATTGTGCGAATCGATTGCAAAACCGATTGATAAACACAATTCGAAACGATAACGAATCTTCGGTGTCAAAAGGGAACGCAAGAAATTCGCTCGGAAATTTTTTAACAGAAGACCAAATATAAACCGTAAACAGTCGCACATTCGCTAAGAACGAGTCTATGTTTATGTGTCAAAATACAATGAATTAGTGCTACTGGTATTAGCTGTTAGTTTGCATAGAATGAGAAGACATCACATAGTGTGTACACTAACGAGCATGCGGTCAACGTGTGTTTTGAAAACAGATAAAAATAGGCAGCACTAAGCAAATTCAAGCGTTGTACTATTATATTGACATTGTTTAAATCGTAGGGTCGACTTCACAAAATATTATGCCTTTTCAAAGCCTACACGAAATACATATTGATCATAGAACGTATAAATTTGCCCTGTTTTTGGTCGATGTTCCTTTTGCTTCATAGTAGCTACTATCGACGTGACTCACTATAATGTCATACACGAATCGCGTTACTTTCACAGTGGAATCAACTGTTTCCTTCGGCCAGTAAGAATGAGCATTAGCAAGAAAGTAGATCGCGGGAAAATAACATAGGATCTGCGTCTACATTATTCACATTCTGCTCCCACTGTCTACGTCCACGAATAAGTCTGTTTGAATTACACAAGACTGAGTAAAACTCTTCAAGTATCGAAGACGCAAGATAATTGAAAATAATCCTCAACTTTAGGATGTTAGATTATTGAACGTCAGATAATTATTTCACACGGTCGTGCTCCATTAATTGCAATACGATTACGACCGATGGTACATGTAAAAAATATTTGTTATGTTCGCAGAAAGTGAACAGGGTTCTTGGGAAAGTGGATTATCGTACGAATGCCGGTCACTTCTTTTCAAGGCTCTGCACAACTTGATCGAACGGTGCTTATTATCGCGGGATTTCGTTCGCTTAGGAAAGTGGTTCGTACAACCTTATGACGGATTCGAAAAACACCGTTGCAGTAGGTACGTTCTTATATTTCGGAAATTGTTTCGATCAGAAGATCAGCAGTCGATCCCGTCCGGTGGCCTTTTACGTGTTTATTAATTTCGTTGTTGTTTACAGCAGTCACTTGTCGTTCTCATTTGCATTCTTTGTCCATGGAGAGAGCACCGTCTGTGCAAGCGTGGACGTCAGGCAGCATCCCGCTGTACGGCATCTCACGAGGACTTGTTTACAACGTACCCAAACCTCTCAATCTGGTGTTAAAGGTAAACAACTGCGAACGATCGTTCATTTCACTGGCAATTTTACACGGAATCTACCTCACGTCTGAATTCTCTGTCGCAGTGATCCTAGCTCCTTACGGACTAGCGGGCACGTTGACTGGACCCGTGGGACGTACAGACAGTCAACTCCTCGAGGAATGGAAACACTTTTACCCGATTAACGGCAGCAGCGTAGAAGCGGGACTTCCGCCCCTGGTAGAAGTGCTCGTCGGCGGCGTTCGCATGCGTTATCCTTCTTGCTACGTCCTGGTCACCGATATGGACGACACTCCTCCCGATACTCCTCTCTCTCCTCCGAGCAGTCCCGCCAGCTGCGAGCATCCCCTCCTGGGTCAACAGGAGCTACGAGCAGCCACGGAACTCCCGGAACGCGTATGGGCAGAATGTACTTTGGGCTCACCGATTTCTACTTCCAAAACAATCGAATCTTCCACGGAACCTGGAACCTGGACGTTCAACGATCCAACGCAAAAGTCTTCCTGTACCTGTTCGAAGTAAGTGAAGCACCGTACCACGTACCGAATGATCAGCTGTTACCAGTTATACCTCTTCTCAAAAATAATTCATTCAGAGATATTATTATTTAGAAGAGAACTGTTCCGTATTCACTGGAAGAGGCACAGCTTGTGACAGCTGCCGGGCAATTAGTAACCACTTCGTGCAGTATTAAGTTCGAGTACATGCAATAAATCGATTAGATTCTTATTGAAGTTTTACGATATTATTTTCTGTGCACATTCGTTAGATGTAGCAGTAAATGTATATCTCTCAACTGGTGTGCTATGTATATCTGATAATGTTTAAAATAATAAAATTATTTATTCTGTATGCATGTTGGCACAATTTACAAAACGTAGATCGTTTAAAATATTTCAGTGTAGGTAGTAATTTTTTTTTTCAATGGCTGCTGTGATACGTGTGCATGTAAATTTAGTTTTAGAATGGCTCGAGTGCAATCGTTTTCTAGAACGTCGGCTATCTTATTTGTGTGATAGAACTGTATTTCTCGTACCAGGAATAGTTTCACGACCAAAAACGTAGATTGCATAAAGACAAGAGTTTTTTTTTTAGTAAAATGAAATGTGTACAATTAGAAATTTGGTATTTGAACGAACGACGATTGAAAATCGTGATTGGAAAAGAAGCAAGTTTAATATGAGGGTATAAAAGTGAAAAGCTAGGGCCTAGCTAGCTGCCAGGTTTTCTATTTCTGTTCCTACTGCAGTTGCTTAAATCGATGAAATTGGAGTAATTGTGGAATCTGAGTAGAAGTATGAGAGAAACGAGATATTAAATGAATCGGTTACAGGTATGCGACCCCCGGGGGTTGGAAAAGCTTGGCCTCCTCTCAGGTTCAGAGGGAGAGAGTAGACAAAGGTGGACGGAGGGTCGTACCGTTTCATCGACGCTCTACCACCCAGTGGGATGCTTGTCCCTCTGTCCCTGCTAATGCCCCCAGGTGGGTAATCTCTGCCCGATACCAACGAGAAAGTCATTTGCATTTCTCTTTTTTTTTTATCACATTCCAATTAATCTCCATCGACGATGCCAATACCATACATATGTACTATACGATCGTTACAGTGCCATAACATCATCTTGTGATTCATATCGCTTTATCAAAGCTCAGCTATTTATTACATACGCGTAGTCGTACCGAGAATAACTTAAACTTAATTGCACGAATAACACATTAATCAAACATCGTTGTGCAAATATTATTTTCTTATCCTGGGGAGGGACTCGATTTTAAACAAAATATGTACAAACATTAACTGAGTTCAAACGTGTACATACATGCGAACCAAGGACTCGCTAAATACGTAACAGAGTTTATCTGTGGTGTACAAAGCTAATATCGTTAGAAAGAAAGAGCTAACATATCGAATGGAATCTGTCGCATACGTAATTATTAATATAAACTGTAGTAAGTATATCTACATGCATAACTAGTGAATCGGAGTATGTTAAAGATCGGACGAGTTTTCAAATTCCAGCTTATTCGTTTCTATACTAGATAATTTAGCAGAGAACTTGTCATAACAATTGTCCGTATTAATTGTCGTTTCTTCTTATTGCTCTTTCCTCTCTTTTAGTTTGCCTTCTTCAACGTTCCCATCAGTGCTTTGCATGTACGTTTAATTGCACTGTTGTATTACCTTTCTCCATAGACAAGTGTTTCTCCTTGATCTTGAGTCAACATTTATTCTCCCAAATCGATCTGTCCCTTGTGTTACCAATGATAACACAGAAAAAAATGGACCTAACAAAATATAATCGATAGACGTGTGAGAATAACACAAGGGACAGATGAAGACTAATACAACTGACTACATCATGCTTTACATATTATCCACGGTTTTCTTTGTAATTTTCTCAAGTAACGAGGTGGTAGAAAACAACTGGGTCATAAAACATCCATGCTATGACAGTTCGAATATTTTTTTTTTGCATGAATCAGCTTTTCAGCATCGATTTATATCCATCAAGTTAACAATTATTGGGTGAGTGCAAAAGTTCTTGCCTGATGTTCTTTAGCTACTCGTTTGTAGAAATCAGCCTCAATCAACGGTGTCTGAGATTTCTGACTGTAAAAATTGGGCACGATCTTTCGCACTGATTTAATAAATACATTATCAGTATTAGAATAGAATGCGTGAGCGGTGAAGAAGATAATTAACTTGTGATTGTGTTTTCTCCTTGATTCGAGTAGGACTGTATTGAACCGAACAGAAGCACCGAGCACACCACCGGGCGGACCTCTTTCTTACTCGAGGGGACCACCAACAGGAGGAGACTGTCTACCAGTTCCATCCGTTGGCTCGCCAGGTTCCCCAGCACCCTCGCCTCTTCCAACTCCACATTCCGAGCCAGCGTCGGTTCCTCCGGCAGAACCTACAATGCCTACCCTCAGTCCTCAACCACCACCCAGTCACACGAACACTGCCCCGCCGTTAACTCCTTCCCAAGGCCCGAAGTCGACCTCCTCCGCGTGCAATAACCAAGCGCATAGTCCAGCACCTGGACCAACATTGAAACGACCAGTCTTAGCCTCTAGAGAATGCGAGGATATATATTTAGAAAACGAACAGTCGTTACCATGGCTGTACGATTATTCGACGCAGGAAGCGTGGCTGAATCATCCTGTGAAACGTTTTAAAGAATCGCATCAAACCAGCCCGATGAACGCGCGGAGCAAAAATCTGTATCCACCGATGAACTCTCAGGTTCCTCAATTACAAACGCCGAAGCTAGAGATTAAACAGGAACCTAACGTCAACGTAGTAAGCAATTTTTAATCTGTGTTCAGAAATCATTTGTTGCCCGTTTTTTTTGTCACGTGCCGACGTTTGGTAGGGAGATTGCATCGGAAGAAGAACGGACCCTTACGAGTTCGACGCTGCAGGCGAAGAAAATGGTACAGGCGTCGATGGGCTCAGACGGCAGAGGGACGATCCTACCAAACCGTCGTCTCTGTTCACCAGCGAAGGTCTCCAAGCATCTTACAAAGATCTGGATCAAATCTTCGACAATTCCGATCCCGATACTTCTAGCGATGAAACCGTAAGTTCCGTTTTTATTCAACGCGTCGCTATTCCCATTATCAGTGAACATGAATCACTGGGTGATGTTGACAGAATTTGAACCAGCTTCAAGTACAAACCCCACCGGAGTCAAACAGATCCGGCGGGCTGCACGAAGAAACCAGAGTAGACGCCGGTAACAGACATAACAATCGGGGCGTGGGCGTGTTACGGCCAGAGGAGCTTTCGAAGATGTTCCCGACACCGCCATCCCTAGAGCATAATCCCGTCGCCTCACCTTGTCAGCTGAACGACTCTTTAATGGACCAGACGGAACTCTCTGTACCTCAACGACCACTTAGGCATCTACCCGACATCTATCCGAATATGGGATCCCCTCAAGAAGAGCCAATCGAGGATTGGTCCTACGTGTTCAAACCCCCGACTATTTGTAAGATGGTTGGTTCTTCCAAGTATGCTCCTTTGACGAATTTGCCTAGCCAATCTCTACCGCCCGTTACACTGCCATCGCACTGCGTGTATAGACCTTCCTGGCAGTGCAATCCTACTTCGAACAATACAGAGAAACCACTTCCGCCGACCAGACCCGGTTCGGTCCAGCAGCAACCCTGCCCTCCGAGCCCGGCACCGCTGGGAGTGCCGTATCGATCGGCGACCATCTCCGGAAGACCGCCGCCGCCGCCTTACGATCAGCCGAGTCCAGCGACGTCCACCACGTCTTCGTATCTAAACAAGAACTTGAACAGCATCGAGGCGGACACGCCAGGGCCCGCTCGCGTCCCAGAATCGAACTCTCTCGTAGTGAATATCCTGTTAGGTGACACCGCGCTTAATATCTTCCGCGATCACAATTTCGATAGTTGCAGTCTTTGTGTGTGCAATGCAGGTCCTAAGGTTGTCGGTAACATTAAAGGTGCCGACGCCGGCGTTTATCTAACGCACTCGTGGTCGGGCGGGGCACTCTTTCAAGACGATGATCAAATCAAATGCAGTTGCGGTTTTAGCGCGGTCGTCAATCGCCGGCTGGCTCACAAGGCCGGGCTGTTCTACGAAGACGAGATGGAGATCACGGGCATCGCGGAGGACCCCGCGGAGAAGAAGAAAACGTCGTTGGTTACCATCGCCTGCGGTGGTGGCAAGCCGTTAGAAGATCTAGACATGATACCACCTAATGTGTTGGAATTGCTCAGAGAACAGTGTTTGATCGTGCAGAGCTCCGCGAGTAGTCTTTACAGAGCATCGAGGATTTACGCGGCTACGAGAAGCTACCCGACCCTGACGCCCACCGTGAATATGTTGGAGTTCAACGACGGTAACGAAGTATCACTGGCGGCACTCGATCAGGGTAAAATCAACGGTACGCACAACGAGAGGACTAATCGCGTGATCGGTGTGCATCGGTGGGTGTTTCTCAGAGCGAAGGGTCCTCAGTGCAGTGGTGATATCGTGCGAATGATGAGAGCGTTGCAACCGCTGTTGCAAGACGCGGTGCAGAAAAAGTGCACCACTCGAATGTGGGAGGCGCCGTACACCGTGAGAGGTCCTTTGACCTGGAGGCAGTTCCATCGTCTGGCCGGTCGCGGGACCGACGACCGCTGCGAACCTCAGCCAATACCCGCGTTGGTCGTCGGATACGATCGCGACTGGCTGTCCTTATCGCCGTACGCTCTCAGCTACTGGGAGAAACTACTGTTGGAGCCGTACTCCGGGCCGAGGGACGTCGCCTACGTCGTCGTGGCACCGGACAGCGACTGCGTCATCAACAAAGTGAAATCGTTCTTCCGCGAATTATCGACCACGTACGAAGTAAGTGAATACTCGTCGAGTCGTTTACAGTTCGTTTCGATCATAAACGATCTGATTTCCTATCTAGATTTGTCGACTGGGAAGGCATACGCCCATCGCGAAAGCGTTGCGCGATGGTATTCTTCGCGTAGGAAGATCATCCGTGCAGAAGCAAGTGAAACAACCGATCGATGACTGGTTTAAACTTTTAGGAGAGAACCAATTAGGCGAACTGCTGCGATTATACGCTCAAGTTTGTAACCATCGATTAGCTCCGTATTTAACGCAAGTCATCCAAGATCGAAGTTTATTAGATCCGGGAGACTCGCAATCGACCAAACAGCAACAGCAACAACAACAAACTACTGCTATTCCCGTTACCGATACAATGCCAGCTACGCCTGACGTGATGACCAGCAAACCTGAATCCGTCGGTACGTTTAAACGTTGAGAACAATTATAAATCTTGTCTAATGATCTTCGGTCGAGTGTTGGACGATGCATGTGAAATTGTTGGATGTTTAGAAGGAGAAAATCCTAGGAGCGAAACTCCATCGAACACAGGAGCAAATTCGAATTCCAATACTGGTAATACGACGCCAACTTCGCAACCTACCACGATACATACTAGTACCACGACGGGGCCCGATGAAGAGGAAGTTGAGCCACCAGCCGTGGTCGTTTACTTGGTGGAACCTTTCTCGTTGGGAGGCCCCGAGGATCCTGACCGTCGCAGGCTCGCGATTCTAGCTCTATTACGCGCATATTCCGCAGCACTTAACAGCATGCCAGAAAACATCAGATCCAACGTGAACGTTCAGGTATAAGAGAAATTTGTATTTCCTTCAGAATTATATTTAACAATTCATATTTACGATCTGTATTAATCTGTATTTTAGATAATATCCTTGGAGAGCATAATGGAATTAGGTCGGGCCAGGGAGAGGCGCAAGATACAGGACGAGATGAGGGCCTTGGCGTTAAACGTGTTTCTGCAAGGCCGTCGGTTGTTAAACCATAACTCCACGGTAAAAAGTCTTACTGGCTTTGGTACCGCTGCGGCAGCAGATCTTTTCCTTAAGAGTAAAGACGTAAGATCCTATTTTGTATCTCTAGTGTTCGATCATCTCCCCACCCTGATCAGAGATTAAACGTTTCGGTCGCGTTGTTGCCGCGTAGTCGCCTGCCGTTTGTCAACGATAAAAACGTAGCGAGAAATAAATGATCCGTCACTCGATCATTTTCAGTCTTATAGTAATACTCTTGCAACTATACATCAGGAACGAAACCGAGCCCCGTACCGGCTGTACGCACCGGCCTACGTTCTGGCTCCTCTTCGGGCGAAGAGCGAGGCACCGGAATCTTTCGGCATCGCCGGACAGGAAGAGTGCGCGGTGCTGTACCTAAGCTACTGCCTCAGCGAGGATCAATCTTGGCTGCTCGCGGTCGCCACCGACGATAGGGGCGAGATATTCGAGACGGCTACCATTAACATCGACATACCCAACAGGAAAAGGAGGAAACGCGCTTCGGCCAGACGAATCGGGTTGCAGAAATTGATGGACTTCATACTTAGCGTGATGTCCCAAGGTGTAAGTATTAAGGATGTATTGGCTATACAGCCAATCCCAAAAGATTATGCACTTTAGACACGCATTTTTTAAAAAGAAATCAGACGTCGGAAGAACAATGCTAATAACAAACAACAACAAAAAACTCGATTTTTCCGAGATTTTTCCAAGGGGTACCCCTTCAGATTTTGCGAAATTTTCGTTTTTGGCCAATAACTCCCAAACCCTTGGAGATACGGAAAAATTGCATATGTCCATCCGTTTGGAAGTTATTGGCGAAAAACAGAAAAACAGTTTTTTGCGAATATCTCGTTAACTATTGACACTAGCGAATTCTTTTTGCACAGAACTTGTAGATCTCGTCGTCCCCTACGAAATGAGCCTAAATACGTCCTCCTACGTCCATCCGTTCGGGAGTTATTGAGGAAAAACGAAAAGTCTTTTTAAAAGTTCACAGTTTCGACGAGCGAATTGCAAAATCTGAAGGCGAATTCGCCCGTCGAATCTGTGAACTTTTAAAAAGACTTTTCGTTTTTCCTCAATAACTCCCGAACGGATGGACGTAGGGGGGCGTATTTAGGCTCATTTTGTAGGGGACGACGAGATCTACAATTTCTGTGCAAAAAGAATTCGCTAGTGCCAATAGTTAACGAGTTATTTGCAAAAAACTGTTTTTCTGTTTTTCGCCAATAACTTCCAAACGGATGGACATATGCAATTTTTCCGTATCTCCAAGGGTTTGGGAG